GCGGGGGAAGCCGCGGAGCGCGGCTGCGAGGACGGGACTACAACTCCCAGCACGCCCCGCGCCCGCCGCGTGGCCGGAGCTCTGAGAGGACACAGCGCGCATGCGCAGTGGAAGGGAACGAGTGCGCTTCCGCGCGCGGGTATAAAGTAGTCCCGCCACGCGTTCCTTCCRTTCGCCCGGCCGCCGGCTCATCCCGCGAGTGGAGGCGGCGGCTCCCGCGGAGGCGGCGGCGCTGCGTTCCCCGCGCGCCTCCCCCAAGCAGGGGCGCGCGGGCGGGCTGTGAGCGGCGGCGCGGAGGGATCCCGGAGTGCCGGTGTCGTGAAGGAGGCGGCGCGGCGGCGCGGGCGGCTCGCCGGGAGCGCCGGTCCTGCGGCAGGTCAGTAGGGAGGGCAGAGCCCGGCGCCCCCGCGGGCCGCGCCGGCCTCCCCGGCGTGCCGGCCCTCCCGGCCGCGACCCCCGGGCCCCGGGAGCCGCCCGCGCGAGGGGGAGCTGCGAGGGGCCGGGGCCTCCTCCGAGAGGCCTCCTGCTGCCCCCGGGGCTCTGCGCCTTGTCCCCCGAGCCGCCGAGCGGGATGGTATTCGGTGGCCCCTTAGTCTTGTTGTGTTGTTTCGTCACATCTGAGTCCTCTCCCTCTGCAGCCGCTGGCTGGTTGTGGTGGCTCCTGACCCTTCATTAGGGGTTTTCTTTTTCAGCCTGTTTCTGAGGAACCTAAACTTATTGCTGAGGCTGAAAGAGGGAAAAACCGCAGCAAAAAAAAAAAAAAAAAAAAAGTTAATCTGGCACCTGGACACCCTGGAGCCATATGTCCAGTGATGCACCATTTATTTGGTTGCCCTGCAGCAGCAGTGTGGGGTGAACCTGGCCTCTCGGGTCTCCCTCGGTGCCCTGGAGCTGGGGGAGGCCTCGCAGTGCTGGGCCAGGATGTTGCCCCTTAGAGARGAGCCAGGGGAAAGGAAAGACCTGCGAAACTGGGCTTGTTAGTAGGACAGGTTTCTGTAATACAGTGCTACTTAATGGCCTCCAAGCAAACAGATGCTCTTGTTCCCTCAGTAGGGAGAAAAAAAAAATGAGGGCAGAGGAAAGGAGCTTTTGCTTTCTAAAGCACTTGAGTTTCAAGACTACTCTAACCAAACAGAAGGCAGGTACCATCACTGCAGGTGCTGCTGGAGAGGGAGCTTCTTCCTTGGTTCACGGTTAATATCTCCATAGGAAGATGAACTCATATGGTAGAGCTTTGAAAATCCCTTTCCCTTCTGTGGGAAGTGACTTAGGCAGATGTAGTAAGCTGGGCTAAAACCTTGCAAGAAGTCACTGACAGAGCAGGGCATCAGAGTTTGGAGGGAACTGTGCACTAGCAAGTTTGCCAATGTTATTTGGAAAGATTCTTTCTTAATTTTGCAAAGCTATCAACCAGCTGTTGAAGACTGACTTTGTTTTCATGATTTTTTTTAATCTATGTCCTATGTGTAGTGCCACAGAAATTAGCTGCTACTACCTGCTATGAAGTGAAATGCTGTTTTATGTTTTTCTAATATACCTACATTGTGCATTTCTCAAAAGAGCCTGAATACTTTGCATTTCTGTGGAGGTCAGGTGGCTTAGATGCTTACAAATACTGCTACTCTTTTTTTTTCTTCTCCTTCTTCCCCCCCCCCCCCCCCCCCCCCCCCCAAGAAGACTAAGGTAAGGTGTGAACCAAGTATTTTGTTTCCTTTTGTTGCTCTTAATGGGTCCTCTAGGCAGTAGCCTGGCAAGTGTCCCCTTTGCTAATGTCTGAGAGTAGCTAGGGGAGAGTAATATTTCTTAAGGGCCTGAGAACAAGGCTCAATGCTTCTATGTGCATCTGACTGTTAGGATGTGACTCTGTTTTGTCCCAAGTTCTAGTACCTTACTGGGAGAGCAAGGGAGAGCTGAAAGGTTCTTATTTTCTTTCTGTTTTGTGTTGTTTTCTGTTCTTGCAGGGCGTTTTCCCTGATAAGCCCAGGCTGTGTCAGTTCTCTGGGCAGCCATCAGACAAGAGGTGCTGATTTCCCTGGTGCTACTAGACTTCTGGATGTAAGTAGTGACTATGAGCTGTAGTTTCCTTTGTACCAAGAGCACAAAATCATTTTGGGTGTCAGACCATAGAAGTTAAGGCAATTGTATAGTAATATCCTCAGCTTAACTTYGGAAGAAAATTTGGAAGCTTCTTTTAAGTACATATGTAAAGAAATTATTGAAATAAAGGGCCACTGTGGAATCAAAGCTTGCCTCATAAGCAAGTTAGACCTTTGCACCTGTGAAAGSAAGCTCAGCTTTCCATAGGTTTCTGAGATTTTTCTCAAGCTTACTAGTGCCTGACTCAAAGGCTGCAGACAAGTCTAGGCCATGCTTAACTGAAACAGCCTTACTTGAGTTTCCGAATTCCTGGGGTTCTTCTCCTTGCTATCCTAGTCCCTCTGGGCTGTGGCTGAGAAAGGGAAGGACTCGCAGAGCTGTGTTGTCTGGTGAAGCACCACGTGTTGTGGGATGTGCCATGAGAAGCTGGTGCTGCGCAAGGTGTTCCTTGAACACCTTGTAGGTGAAGAAGCTGGATTTGGAGGATTGGCAGTAGTACGGCTCCTGCGCTGGTGGGGATCAGTGAGAGAGTGGGGAAACACAAAGGAACCCCTGTGCGTTTTTCGGAGGCATGTAGGTGGATGAGGAAAGGAGGTCTGTTTTATTTTGGGCCAGTTGTTCACGTGTCCTAATGAAGTGTTCTTTYGAGCTGTAATTTGAGTGACTTTAGGACTTGCCCCAAACTGGTTGCTTTCAGCATGCTTTTCAGTTCCCTCATTTTACTTTACTTTTACTACTCTCTTATTTTATTAGCTTATGCTTTCATATGTTCCTGGGAACCGTTAACATTTCAATTCCTGTTAGTAGACAAAGATTGGTGGTTAACTACCCTGTGCTGCTGAGTGTTYGCTAAGTTTGTATTTAGTAAGAACAGTTTCTTTTGAGGTTTTTATTTATTTTTTTGTTAATCCAGCAAGCTTGTTCATGTGGAATGCCAAGGCCTGTTGGAATTCACTGTATCCAGTGTAAGCAGTAACTCAAGTTTATATTAGCAGTGTAGATTAGCCTTAATTGGGAAGAGCTGCAATGTTGGTCTCGTCTTATCTCTCTACAGAATTAGCTTGTGCTATGAACAGTGAGGTGGTTGCTCCAGGGAGGCAGATGTGACTCGTATCACAACTATTGCTTTTTAGGGTATGCTGTCTGGTAGTGTAATTCCTGCATAGAATTATGAGCCTAAAGCAACTGGAGTTGAGCTTATATATGCAACTAGGGACAAGCCTGGAAGTGCTGATCTGTTTCTGAAAGGCCATTAAATAACAGTTTGATAACTAGGGCTTTTGGTGAATTACAGGTGGAGCTTGATTTGAATAACTGTTTTTAGCTGGGAGCAATTTTCATTCTATGATACAAAGGAACAAAACTAATTAATGTGGAGTGAATGAGTGTTTCTAAGTGTATTGGGAAGTCTTCCCTTTCCCTTGACCTTGTTCTTCTAAAATGCTGAGTGAATCTGAAGAATGCTTGTCTTTCAGGAATGGTACTAACTGCACCACCTAGATATTTCTTTTAATAGTGAAAATGTTAAATGGAATTGTATTAGGTTGTCCTCAAAGAGGCTGTTTAAGGACATTGACCCTAGGAACAAATGATTCTGCTTTTCTTCATGGGTTACAAAGGCAAGAGCTGATTTTGGCTAGTGGATCTTTTTTTGGTGTCAGGCAGTGAATAACAACACAAAACTTGATCCTTATTTCGCTATTTACTTTCTTTACTTTTTACTTGAAGGAATAGTGTGAACAATGTGAGATCTTGGAATATGTCTTTTGGCTATTGTGGCACAGATAAGTAGTAACAGGGATAACTGACCCTTCGCTTATAGCTCGAAGAGTTACYGTAATAAGAAAATAAGAACAATTGCCCTAGTTGAAATACCAAGTGACTTTGTGTTACTGACGACAGCAATATGTGTAAAGTACATAGTCAAAAGAATGAATATGGTGRAAGTGTCTGTTGTTGGTTATTAATTGAATTTAAAAGACTGAAGACTGAGGGACTTTAATTTCTGATTGCTTTTCCCATACTTTTTCTCCCTCCAAGTAGTGCARAGTATAGGATTTCTTGTCAGTTTACTGCTTTACTGGGGAAAGTCTGCTTTGTTCTTCTGATGTGTTCAGATATGAAAAGATCTTTAAAGATCATATCTTTAATTATGTGATGATATCTGATATCTTTAACTGCTGCTTCAATATATTTGTCATCTATAGAAATGGCTTGGACTTCAGCTGCTGTTATAGCTGAATCTGTGCTTCCTCCTGGATGAGGTAATGCTGAAGGGGCTCAAGCCTTGAATTTTAGCTGCTGGTACCTTCTGATGCTATCAGTCATCACAMCATTTGTAGCTTAAATTTCTCATTATTTCCCTTTTTTTTTTAGGATTATTGAATCAGATGAGGAAATTTTTGAGTTCTCCCGTAGTCCAGCACTCTAAGGACATTTTAGGATGCTCTTGTCTGTCCTGCAGGGTGTATTGTTCAACGAGAGTTCTGCACTAGCTTTTATTTTTTGGATCTGAATGTTTTAAATTGTGTCAGTAAAGGAAGATGATAAAACAAGAATTGGAGGTCTGTGATTCAAAGCTGAATACTGAAGTAGTGATAAATTGGGGGGGAGAAGAAAAGAAAACTTCAGRGGTTTTTGCACCTTTTAGATCTAAGGTGCTTGTTTCCCCCGAGTCTCAATTTTGCCAATGCAAAATCATATAATAGCTACAGACAAAAAGAYACTGTTATGTGTCTGGTTCATAATGCAGTTGTTTGGAAACATGATATAGGTTCCATTTTTTTTCTTGATGTATCTCCTGTTATCGTCAATGGCAACTGATTTTTTTGGAGTAGATTTCTGGTTTGGGATGTACTTTCTGCCGTATGCCTTTAGCTGGTGCTACACATGACTTATGCTATGGATAAAGTGAAATTAAGATAACCAATATTTGACTAAATCCTCACCATTTCAATGTGTGGGAATGGTGGCAWCTTCAACTACTCTTCTGCTCTGTTTAATTAAGATAAGAAAGCATATTTGCTGCAATTTTTCTAAGAAAAGAGCCAGTGTAATAACTATCCTGTATTAAAACAAATTAATTGGAATTTATGGAATTCAAGTACTCTACTCCCAGAGTCATGGGAAAGAATCTCAGCTTTGATTAGGAATATAAATGTTTAGCTTTAGATTGGAATGAAAAAAAAATGAAAATGTCAAGTCAGCTTACAAGATAATTCCACAACCCTCCCCCCCCTTTCTTTTTTGTTTTAGTGATCGTATTTCCTCCCATTCTTGACTRTTTTGGGACCCTCAGTTATTGGAATTGTTTCAAATATTCATCTTTGTGACACCAATAGAACCTCAATGAGAGAGAAGAGCTGAAACTCATGCTGTAATTTCRCAGAAATTGAAGTCACTAACTCTCGGCATCCCTTTTCCTTGAGCTGACTGCAGTGCTTGTTTGACCCTTTATTGAACCATTTCAGCCTCTAATTTGRCATAAACTAATTTGATAGTTCAGCTGAAAGCTATTCTCTTGCTTTAGCGTGCTGAGACACAAACTGTTGCCCAGCCTTCAGGGACACTGGTCTGAACAGGATGCGATTGGAGTAGTCAGTGGTTAAATGTGCTCAGGTTGTCCCCATAAACAGACAGCTTGCTCTCTTCGCTGCCTTTTCCAAAGGGAGGGAGTTGGAGCAGTTGTGTAAAGAAGCCAGTAGGCTCTGGAGGTGGCAGATGAGAAAGAGGAGGGAGTGAGGCCTTCCCAGCTTCGTGGTTGCAAGCTATGCCCCCAGCTCCAGCTTTTGCCAGCTTCAGGTGCTGCTTCAGCAGTTGAAACTGGTGTGTAAACGGCCGTGTGACAAGGTTGGGTTGGTATTGTTGCTTACTAATGCTATAAACACTTTAGTATCAAAACACAAAGAGTTGTCGTTTTCAGGCTCTCGGCATAGAAAAAAGGAAGGCGGGGAAAAAAAGCTTCTGGTTGATTCTTGTCTGTGATTCCTGGCTTTTTAAATAAGACATGAACTCACAAGTCGAGGTTCATGCTGCTTTCTGAAATTTGATCTCTTTGATCAAAATGCATCACTTGGAAACTTTCTGGCTTACTTGGAATGGGATGGCAGCAGGTCACTCCTGTGAGGATGGATGCTGTGAGCATCTGTTTGTGGATGCTCCCCGTTGTGGATGGACCCCGTTTGTGGATGCTGGAGCAGGGGAGATTTTGCTTCCTCTTTGTTCATTTGTCCGTGGCTTCACACCAGGGTACTCAGGGGCCCCCTTGCATGAGCTGATGTTTTTAACTGTCAGAAGAATAAAAATGTTGCTGTTTTGTTGTGTCAGTGGTTTGTATTGGATTTTGAAAAAGATCAAAAAACGCCAATGCTGATGCAAGGGAGAATGGAGAGCTCCTGATGGATGCGAAGCAAAGTGAAAGCAGAAGCTTGAGGGAGAGGTGATGAGACCAACCCTTTTTTGGTGCTTTTAGGCTTCAAAGCCTAYTACTTGCTTTGAAGACTGAACTTAAGCAAACAGTATGGAGTTCTTGGTCACRTATTAAAGTAGTGCATCTCCCAACAGGAAAGCTTATGCTTGTAGGTTAGGGAKGACTACCTTGGAAACAGTGATCTGAAGCAGCTTTGCAGATGAYAGTAGGTAATCCAGCTCAAGGTATGTGTTTAGTGCAGCTCTGAGCAAGTGCTCTAGGAGATAGGAGCCTTAAGGGTAAAAACAGCAGGCAAGTAGTAMTGTGTCTTCTGCAGCTGGCAGTGCTACAGCTACTTTTGGAATTCAGAAAGGGTTGTTGGCACATGGGGAAAAGGTCAAAGAAGAATCACAAAACCAATTAAAGGCATGTTTTCGGTCCTAAATTGATTCCAGGGTCTACATCTGTTTAACTCTTCAAAAGGATAAGTTGATCAAATCGTGCTTTGATCATATTTTATTGATAAAGGTTGTTGGGTATCTAGTTTTCA